GAGAGAGAGAGAGAGAGAGAGAGAGAGAGAGAGATGGGTTTTAAAAAAATCTATTCTAACACTTCATCTTAATGGTATTCCTAATTAAATACCTTTTTTCCCCCATCTTTCTGTTACAAGTTAATCTCAAAAAGGTATCAGTAGTGGCCAATTGCTAGACAAAGTGAAAGAAGCTAGAATCAATAGTCCCTTAGGAGTACACAATCAAAGAAATAGCTATTCTGCAATGAGAAGATCAGAGTTACTGTGAGGGTTCATGTTGATATGTTGTGTTTGGAATCCTTTCTCTAGAATGCTTGCTGGACAATGGCTTTTATGTGCTGTTACATTGACTCTTGGGGGCTGTCTCTCACTTGTATTTAAAATATGAATTATGCCTCAAGTCTTTTGAATCTCTTCATAATCAACCCACTCCATGGAAATTTCATTTAGAAGATCCTGAGGTGATTTCCAGTCATCAGTTATAAATGAGGGACTCGGGGTTTTGAGTTTTAACTGGCTACATTGTTTGCCACTTCCAATACTATGCCAGGAAAAAATTCCTGAGTCTTCTGTATATTTTCTTTTGCCGTGGTAATTTAAGAAATAAGTCATGGGCTTATTTCTTCTTCATAGACATTTTAAGTTTACTTAGGTTGTGATTAATATCTCGCAATTCTGGAGTGATAATGCATTAAATCTATTATGTACACTATTGACCTACATTTAATGCTTCAAAATGTAATCTGCTAAGATATTTAGAATGTTCCATTTAAAATATGTTCATAAACTGTGGTCAGACTGTGAACAGTAAATGACTGCATGAGTGATCAGCATTGTATTTCTTTGATTTAATTTTTAATAACAGTAAAATAGATACAACATTTTCTAATACGGACTCTACTATTTAAAGTCTCTGGTAGCTCTCCAGAAATACAAAAATGTTGAAATATATAAACGAGTAAACCAGACTGTAAAACAGGGACTGCCCTTCCTTTCAAAGACAAAATGGTACTGTTAGTTGAAATAGTGACTGCTAAAATGTTGTTTAGCTTTTCCATTCTCCTCTTCATCACACTAAAGAATATTATCCACGGTTCTCTGTGACTGTTTGCTGGTGCCAGCCACCTGGACCATCTCATTAGCCTCTGGTCCCAGCACTCTTTCCCTCCATAGTTTGTAATGGGCGGCCAACGAGGAAAACAAATTGGTGAAACCAAGTGGCCATCTTTGTCTTGGAATCACAGATCTAACATTCTATGATGGTTCTATATCAATATGGTAACGGTGGCCTTTGGTTTTGGAAATAATTTTCTGGTTGTGCATGTGGCCAGTATTGCTTTAAAAAGAGTTGGTATGATAAGTTGTAAAATACATATAGTAGGTTGTTATTATTTATTTATAATTTATAACTCCCTACTTATATGAAAGCAAATTGAGACTATAGTTACATAAAAGAGTTCACAAAGAATGATAAGAAATCACTAATCAACTAGAGACATAGACGTGAACCTTAACTCTTAAGTTAATTACTTAAATTAAATTGGACATTCCTTGGACTTCCCTGGGGCATTCTACAGATCATCCTGGTACGTTTTTATAAACTAAAGTTGAAATGATCAGCCAGTAGCTTAGTTGCCTGGCAGGAAATAATCAAAACTCTTTAGAGGAAAATGAGAGAAAAGAGTTTTCTACATTGTATTTTCATACTATATTATGTAAAAATAAACAGGAAAATGAGAATAGTCATGGAAAATAAGCATTCAATAGAAAGAAGTTTTGAGATGGCCCATATATTTGATTAAAGACATTAGAGCAACTATTGTAAATATGTACAAAGAACTAAATCAATATATACTCAAAGTATTAAGGAAAAATCTAGTCTAGGAAGTTTTAACATGAGAGTCCTAAGAGAAACAAAAACTGTAATAAAAGGAGAAATGGGAAATTGTAGAACTGAATTGAAACTGAAATGAAAAGTTCATTGGATGGGCTAAAATAGCATGTTAGCAATGGCAGATGGAAGTCAGCAAACTTGAAGATAGGTGAGTAGGAATTATCCAATCAACAGACCAAATTGGACACAATTTGAAGAAAAAACTTCAGTGACTTGTGGGACAATGCAAAATGATCTAAAATATAAATAATATAATATTCAGGCAAAGAAGAGAATAAGTTGGGCAGAAAAATATTTGAAGAAATAGTGGCTCCAAATCTTCAAGTCTTAACAGAAATCATTAATTTGTAAATTCAAGAAGAAATTTTGCTTTACTTTTTCATAGAAGACTTTAAAAATTTTTTTATTTGTTAATGTCTTACTTGTATTACATTGAAATAAAAATATAATAATAATTGAAAAGAAGATCAGCAAATGTCAAGCCAAGGAAACATATAGAAATTTATAACAAGCCACATGGTAGTAAATTAGAAACCAAGGATAAGAAGAAAATCTTTGAAGCAGCCTGTGGAAAAATGACGCCCTATAGATGAGGAAAAAGTGCTTACTTTGTGAAAAACAATGAAAGCCAGGATACTTGAATGATAGATTACCAAAGGCAAAAAGAGCCCTGCAAGCCCAGAACTCTATATCCAGCACAAATCTTCTCAAAATAAAATTTTAAAATATATTTTCAGATAAATGAAAACTCAAATAATGAATTATCTTCAGATCTGAACTGTGGAAGAGTCTGAAAAACATTATTTCCAATAAGGGGCGTAGATGGAAACTGGATCTATAGACAGAAAAGAATAATACTGTAGGCTGGGGTATAGCTAGGTGGTAGAGTACGTGTCTGGCACGCAGATGCAAGAGGGTTCAATACCCAGCACTGAATAAGTAAATAAATGTCATTTCACGGACATAAAAGTGAGTGAATAGAAAAACTGTGGTATATTTTTATCGTCTCCTGACAGTAACCTTGAAATATGAGGTTTAAAATTGTTATTTATTGTACCAATTCACACCTGAGTCTTCATACATCCTCTTCACACTTCCGGCTCCTTAGTCAGAACTTTAAACTTCACAAAATGTGTAGAGTTAGTACTGCTCTCAAATCTTTATGAGAAGGGACAAATAAAAATAGTAAACTTAAACCCAACCATATCAACAATTATATTAAAGATATATTACTTTCATTAAAAGGCAGAGATTATCAGAATGAATATAAAAATCATATATCTTGTCATAAGCAATGCAATTTCCATAGACAAATACCAAAGAAAGTAAAAGTAAAAGGGTGGGAAAACATATGCCGTGCAAACAATGTGTATAAAAATTAGTCTGGTTATTAAGTATATGTGAAAAGTAAGGCAAAGATTATGACGAAAGAGGAAGAGGAATATTTAACGAACATAAAAGATGAAATTCAGGTGGCCTTAGGCAGGCAAGGAATGGATAGACGCTGCATCAGCACCCACCCGGTGGGATGCGCAGTCTCTAGGGAGGATTTGAGCACCTGAGCCACAGTCTGTTCACCTTTGCAGCATGGAGGCCGATGCACTGGTGATCTTCGGCCTAGAGTTCCAGGCACGTGCTCTCACACCTCAGACTGCAGAAACAGGTGCCATCCGGTTTTTGGTTGGGACACAGTTTCTTAAATATGATAATCAGATCCACATTATGATTTTGACGATGAAAACAACATTATAAACAAGAACGTCCTCCTCCACCAAGCGGGTGAAATGTGGCACATTAGTGCCAGCCCCTCGGACAATGGTGTTGGTGACCTGCTACAATGAAAGTGCTATGAGGTGAGGGGTCTCCTCCTCTAACACCCCTGCCATGATGTGCTGTGCTGCCCAAGCCCACAGTGACCCTGGACTGAGACCTCTGCTGATGAATCTCAGGTGTCCTGCCACAGCCTGGAGAGCTACTGCCACCACCATCTTGTGCCAACACTTGTTCCTGTCATGGTGTCCCAGGCTGTCTTCCTCACTAGGTGACAGGATGACCGAGAGCTGGGAAGTTCCAGGCTCGAATCTGACCCTGCCCTGTTCTCCACGTACAAATCTGGGACTTCACTTCAGCCCTCCATGAGTCATGCTCCTCCCTCCCCTATAAAATCCCAGTGATCCTGACAGCAGGAAGAGGAAGAGCAGCCCTGGGCACCAAGCGCTCTCAGAGTATCACGTGGCTCACTATGACAAAGCTCTGCTGACTGTCACCAAATCAGTCCTCAGCCAGCTGCTCTGGGGCAGAGGCTGGCTCATTGGATCCCTTGACTGTCTCCGTGTTCTGCTCCTGAATCCCTCTCCTGCTCTCACCTGCAGAAGCCCTCCACATTGGCCTCGTGCCTCTGGTGTCTGCAGTGCCCGCACTACTGTCCTTGGCCCTGAGTGTCCCCAACATCCGTGCCATGAACAGATCTGCTCTACAGTGCTGATGACGCATGGGGAAAAGACAGGCTGAGTTTGAGACACCCTGGAAGCAGGATTCCTTGGGCTGGGGCCGACTGCGTCCTGGATGACCGAGGAGGAGGCAGGGAGGCCACAGAGACGTTAGCTATGGGGCTCTGGGCCTAGGCCAGGTCCACTTGGGCTGAGGCATGGCCCTGGTCCTCAGGACTCAGCTGTGCTGCCTTCTGGGCCAGGATGCCCCATGGCTGGCACTGGGATGATGTAGAGATGCTGCCACACACCTCTCTGGTGACTAGGCTGGGGCGGAGGATCAGTGTGGCCTCTGCATACTCCTGGGCTGCTCACAGCATGGCCGAGTCTAGGCTTCTACATGGTGGCTGGGGGAACAGCAGTGTCCCAGTGCTCAGAACAGGCAGGGCTGCCTCTCTTCACCTGGGCTCACCGTCCTTCCAGCAACTCCTCTGTGGCTCCTTGGTGAAAACCGTCACACAGGGACATGCGAGGAGGTGAGCAGAGAGAAGCTCCGTACCACGGAGGATGGTGGGATAAATCACGGCTCTGCTCAACTAACCCCACCCTCACACAGCCCCCACATCTACCTGCACCCAGTCAGGAGGCTGTGGTCTGAGGGCTCCAAGGTGCTGGGCACTCCCTGGTCTTAGGGGACCCTCCCTCCAGCAATGACACACAAGTCAGGGAGACCCCCCTCCTGCTGCTCCTCATCTTCCTCCCACCAGCTCTTGACTCAAGCACAGTCTTCTGAGCTGTGTACCCTCCTCCCTCCCGAGGAAACACAGGTGTCCTTTACACCCTTTCCCTCTAGCTCCCTAGATGGGGCTGCAGGGTGACTCACCGTGGCTTCCTCCCATGTGGATGGTCTGCCATGGGTAGGACGTCCACGTCCACGGAGCTGCTCTCATTGCTTTCTACTAAAACGACAAGGGTACATATGAAATGGACACGCATGTGATAATATAGCAGGCATTATTGGCTGTGGTCACCACCACCCTACGCTACAGTAGACCCAACAGCGAGTCCTCATGTCCATCTGAGACTCGTCCCTCTGGCCACAACTTCTCCATCCCTCTCCCCTCTCCTCCTCACTCGAGTTCTACCCTGACGATGAAAGGTGACATCATCAGGATACAGCTCACTCAGAAAACACCCGGACCACCCAGCCTCCTTGAGGATTGAGGGTTGTCTGGGATTCTGCTGGGTGCTACTTATATTGGGGCCACCTTGTGTCGGCGGTGCCCACAGGGTGGCAGGCAGCAGCAGCACAGGGCCCGTAGGCAGCCTGTGATGCTCCTTTTTAGGGTCTTCCAGTATCGACGCCAACTCTTCTCAGGGGCAGAGGTGGTTCTGGAGCTACAGCAGGGAGCTTCAAGGCCTGGCTGGCGGGACACACTGGGAATGGCAGGGCCAGGCTGGGAGGACAGGCTGGGAGAGGCAGGGTCAGGCTGGGGGACAGGCTGGGAGAGGCAGGGTCAGGCTGGGGGACAGGCTGGGAGAGGCAGGGCCAGGCTGGGGGACAGGCTGGGAGAGGCAGGGCCAGGCTGGGGGGCTAGGCTGGGACTTGGGGTCCTCTGTATGGTCATGGGTGGCTGGGAGCCTCTGCCACCCTGTTCTCCGGGCTTCACTCCGGGGAATAAGCGGGCAGTGCAGGGGACAGGCTTGCTGGCCGTCCCGGGGATGTGAGGTGAGAGTGCAGGACTTTTCAGGCTCCGTGATAATTTCTCTGCAGCCTCATGCATAGTCTTCACTGGGTTTCTGAAGCCCAGCCCCTGGAGGGCCTGGTTCTGTAGCAGTAAGATGGTTGCTGTCTCACAGTTATATTCCTTTCTCCTCAGGGTGTCCATCACTTTTAGTGGGTCGAAATCCATCCCAGCCATATGCTGAGGATTGCCCTCTTTGTGGGCACAGGGAGCGGCTCAGGAGGACTTGGGGGCCGGACACCCTGGAGCCACTGGTGCTCCAGCACCTTCTGTGCTGTTGGCCGCATGCTGGGGTCCCGGTTCCTGAGATTTCCAATAAAGTTTTTGGTATCCATGGAGAAGAAGTCCGGGTAAGAGACCATCTCATAAATGATGTTTTCAGTTACCTTGGATGGTTCCCCACAGAAGAGACGTGTCCGGTTAATCATCTCGTGTAGGATCACGCCCAGGGCCCAGATGTCGAGGGGAGGGCCTTCATACATCTCATATAAGATTCTTTCCGAGGCAAAGTACCCCGGCGTGCCACCCGGCGCAGTCACCTTCTGCCCGGGGAGGAACCAGAACCCGAACCCAAAGTCACATACTTTAGCACGGCCTTGGGTGTCGATCAAAACATTTTCAGGCTTGAGGTCCCCATGTACAATGCATTGCTGATGGCGGTAATGCACCGCTCCCAAGATGTCTCGGAAAATCCTCTGGACATCCTTCTCCTGCAGCCTCTGCCTTTCGGTCTGGAAGATCTCTTGCCCCAGGTTGAGCCCCATCACATATTCTAGGACCAGATGTACTTTGTCTTTTGTTTGTATTACTTCCAGCAACTGTGTGATTTTAGAGTGTCGAACGTCCTTCAGTATCGCAACCTCCGTCATAATGCAGGCCACTTGCTCCTCTGTCTTCATTAATTCTTTCATGGCGACCGGCATGCATGTTCCACGATGTTGTGCTAAAAATACGTTGCCAAAGCCGCCTTGGCCAGTGAGGCCCAGCACATCATAATTATCTTGGAGACTGTATTTATACGAGCTGGTCGTGAGGCCCAGCCAGGATGTTCCCTCACTAAACTTACCAGAAACACTGCTTGGCACAGTGTCATGACGTCCTACACTCCCCATAGCCCCAAATCTCCAAAAACAATTTCTACCTAACTCCCTCTCAACAGTCTCCGTCTACCCACGACAGACCCACCTGAGCCATGGCCTTATATAGATAACTGCCGTGACCTCACACAGGCTCCTGTGATGTCCCAGAACTAATGGGCCGATGCAGAGCTGGCCACACCCACCTGGGCCACCTCACTCGGACCATTAGGACCTTTTGTTTGTTAACGGAAAAGGTTACAAAATTTCTTGCTTGTGTGGGTTATGGAGATTGCCACACAAGTGTTTAGAAATGAGAATCAATCCATATGATGCTCCAAAATCCTTTTCCTTTCTATTATGCCTTTTGTTTTAGAGCTCTCATGGTGTCTACACTCAACATATCCAATTCCTTTTGCTTTAAATTCTTGCTGGTTTCAGAGTGATGCTGCATCTTCGTTGACATTAGAGTAATATAATGTTCTCTTTAGGAAACATGTTGTGGCCCATTAATGCCCGTGAAGCTGACCGGAAGATACCTATCATAATCATTTCCCCCCAAAGACAATTGATAGAGAAGTGCTATACAATTAGACAGGCCCTGGCCTTGTCTCCATTTTATTTTCCTACAAAATGTTTCGTTTTGGAAATGTAACTTTGTGCTGCTGGGCTCCTACCCAATGTGTCAAAATGGTTTGCGGCTGTTTGAACTTTGCGTCCTTTCAGGGATGTTCGGTTAAGCTCTGTCCCCTCACAAAAAGGTTCTGTTGAGCTTCTCCCCCACCCCAGGAACGTTCTGTAACTCGGCCCCTCTGCTTCTGGAAAGTTCTTGAACTCCACCCCCCACCACCACAGCCCCGCTTCCTTGAGCATGCTTTCCTACCCTGCAGGTCCCTATATAGGGAGGCTCTCATTTCTGGTAGAGTGCTCAGAATCCTCTGAGCCCAATGGCACTTGCCAGTGAATAAAGGCTTTTTCCCACCTCTTCCACTTACCAGCAGATTCCCGAACCTTCAAATTATGAGAGCTGTGTTCCAGAGCTGCCACACTGAGCTATAAAGCTCAGCAGTGCCTCACAGCTGGGGCACTTGGCTGTGACAGTGAGTTGTGAAATTCAGCTATGCCACTGACGTGAGTGATGAATCTGTTTAATGACAATGTAGTGTCTCATTTCTGCAAAATCCTCAAAAGGAGGCAAAAGTAAGTGTCACTGGACAGATTCTTTGGTAAAGTGGCACAAAAAGAAAAAGATTCTGTGGAGCCAATAGACAGCAGTGATTCTTTTAGTGACAGTGAAAGTATCCTGTACAGTAACCCACTCCCTCTTGAGTCCCTCACACAAGCCACCAGGTTTTAAAGGTAACTGCAGGTCAGTTTGTTTATTTTTCTTTATTATTTGTATTATATTACAGTATTATAATAATTTCAACGTGAATTTTTTGGGTTGTGGAATGAATCATCTGAGTTTCTGTTATTTCTTATGGGGAAGCTCACATTGATAGACAAGTGCTTTGGATTGCCAGTGAGTTTCTGAAATGAATTATGCTCACAAATCAAGGTTTTGGGGAATAGAGGTAAATGATATATATGGTTTTAATAGTCATAAGTGGTGTGTTTTCAAATGTAATATAAGGTCTTCATTTTTATAGTACTATGTATGCCCTTTTTTAAGTTTCTGTGTAAGAAATACTACTCATGAAGTGCCTTTTCTTGCTTTAACACAATAATACCTGTCTGTTATGCCAGGGGTGGTGCACTCCTGTAATCCCACATTCTCAGGAGGCTGAGGCTAGAGGGTCACAAGTTTGAAGCTGTTCTAGGCAATTTTATAAAAAATAAAAAGGATACATTCTGTTCTTAAAAAAACAATTCTTTAAAAATAAGATGAAATTCAATGATAAGTTAAAATGTTCCTTAATGTATGTGTGTAGCATTTAACATAACTGGGCATGGCGACATGAACCTGTAATCCCAGCAACTCACGAGACTGATTCAGGATGATCTCAAGTCCATGCCAGCCTGGGCAACTTAGCAAGACTCTGTCCCCCAAAAATAAAAACATTAAACATGAGTGCAGATGAAGGTAAGTGGTGGAATGCTTGTCTAGCATGTGTGAAGACCTGCGTACAATCCCAGAACTGCACACACACACACACACACCAACACACCACTTGACATACCATTTAACAGACTCTCCAGATTCATGAAGCAGAACCTCAAACAACTGAGGAATCAAAACACAAATACAAAGTCATAGTTGGAAATTTTAAATGCCACCCAAGTTTCACAGAACACCAGGCCAAAAGAGAAACATTATTGCTTGTGTTCTGTCTGATTGGTGGTAGATGAACAGACTTTCTCTAGCTGTAGATGCTGAGAGGTAACTTAAACTAAGATCATATCTTAGTTCAAATTTTTGTGTTGAGTTTCTGGTTTTGCTTTTCTGTAAAATAAAAGTATAATAAAATATATCTAATTCATTCATATGTGGAGGTAGGTTTAGAAAACATTTTTCCTTTTAAATCTGTTTATCTCATCACAGCTCTAGAGTTTGGGAAACATAGCAGATTGACATGGACCTTATAGACTTTCTTTGAATATCTGGTGTTCAACCAGGCATTTAGCTTGATCTGTCAGCTGAATTTCCGCCTTGGTCCTGATTTCCTGTTTTGCTGATGAGAAAGAGACCATGTATTTTAGGTTGCAGACACACAGATGGCCTTTCCTGTGGCGATGGAGCTCTTTCTGTATTTGTGATCATTTGGAGCACCATCCCAGTTATGTATGGAGGTGGCCTTAGGGTTGCCTTTGGGTAGGGCCAAATTTTTTTCAAAATAGAGCTTCAAATTTTGCTGAGCACTTGGACAGAGCAGGAGCGCATTTGGCACCAGAAGGAAAAATAAAAAATAAAAAAAGCTTTGAAGAGAGGTGGGAGGACCCAGTGAATGGATTTGGCTGCCTTCACAGTGTTGCCTGGGGTCTACTCTGGTTCAGAATATGAGTTAGGCAGTTTGTGATTGGTGCGCATTGTTTTATCACAAAAAGAAAATTGGTAGATTTGTCTCTCTCTTTTGCTATTCTGTAAAATGAAATCAAAGAGATGCATTTGTATAGTTAATAAACATTATATCCTCCTGCAGTCAAGGAGATATTAAATTTCAGAATGGCATAGAGGAAGATATGCCAGATCATGAACAACACCAAAGGTTTTGTTAAAAAAAAGTCATATTCAAAGGTAAGAATTCTGAACCAAAAATTAACTTAGATATTTCATTTGAAGGATGTTTGAGGAAATAGTCTTAGATATTCTTAGTTAAGCTTTTATTCTTTTTTATTTAAATATAATAGTTGCATATAAAGCTCAGTGCCTTTAACCCAGCACACTTTAAATGGTTCATAATGTATATTTCAAAACAAAATGTAACAGAAAATTGTCTATAACTTCTTATTTTTCACACCCAGAAGACACATAACAAACTTATGTGTGTTTTCTTTTTCACTAAGGCAACATAATGAACTAATCTTTCTCTTAAGGGTTGTCATTTTGGGGGATTATTTTCATACTGGGAAATATAAATGTTCTGGTTGATGGAGTTTTTCTTTTTAAATGAAGCTACTGCCTCCTGGTATAATGGCACTGTGTGCAGCAGTAACAGTACACAAATAATATTTATTTTGTAACAAGATCCACCCAGAAATCTTTAGTTAAATTGCTTCAGGTAAAATTATTACCTGTCACGTATTCAGGTGATTACCAGTGTGGTGTAGTTCTATTTAGGTATGGTCGTGAGTTGGAAGTGAGGTAATATTATCCTTACTAGTTTTCATTTTTTGGTTGGTGTCACTTAATTTTAAACCACACAACTCGTATTTTATGTATCTCCCTGCTTTTGTTGGACATGTGAAATGTATTGATCTGTTATGGCAGTAATTAGGGATAATTAGTCAGTGGTCCCTTTTCTAGTTAATGAATGAACAGAGCCCTATCTAGTTCCAGCCTCTCGGGTGCAGTGTGTCTGAGGGATGGGGAGGCTGTGCGATGTCACAGAGGACAGACGAAGGATCCACTGAATGACACAAAGATGCTAGAACTGCTGCTCTCATCTTGTTTCACCATCTTAGCCTTTTATAATTTCTAATTCAGGGTATGTTTTATAATGTGCATCCTATGTAATAGTCCAGTAATGAGTAGATTCTTTTATAAGGATACACCTGCTTAGGTACATATTATAAAAAATATTTTGCTAATAAGGATGACTGATTATTGATCCCACTTATGGTGTCTCTTTCCTTTTCACCTAAAATACAAAAGTGAGAGGAAAAACACGAGTAAATTATTTGGGGGTACCTAAATGATTTATTAGAGCCTGCATGATCGGAAATAAAATCACAAATACATGCGTTTAAAAAATATGTAATGAATTGTACAATTCAGATTGGGTTACCAAAGTCACATCCACCCCTATAGAGGACTAATCTTACATTCACTGTCAAATATGCCGTAAAGTGAGCCCCAAAACTGTACCTTAGCCTGATTTGGGCCAACGTAAAGGCAGAGCAAATCTGTTTGGATACGTCTTTCTCAACTTGAACTAGGGTTTGTTGTAATCTCTTTTATAGATGATGAGATAGTACTTACTGCTTGCTTCCAGTGGTAAGCTGAGGCAATTATCACATATCCAGGACCGATTTCAAGATGAAAATTAACATTTTAAAATAATAAAGTTCTTGCACTTGTTGTGTCTCTCTACTTTACAAAATATTTTAACAAGTGTTATTCTGTTTGATATACATAACACACTGTTAAGGAAATTGGTGATAATATTGACCTCATTTTTCAAGTAAAGAAACTGAAAATTGTCCAGGGTTCTGTGGCTTCCCAGCACCAAGAAGTGGTGCCAAGTCAGTGTCTTCACTCAGCTCAGGTTTCCACATTCTGCCTTTCCACATAAATATTTTCAGTCCTGTGAAGCAGACATAGTAAGAGGAACCTTGTCTGGTTGCTGCCTGTAGGAGGGGAGCTTTCAGGTGTTCACCATTGAGATTCTCATCTATGGCCTCTGTGGTGTTCCGGTAAATGACC